AGAGAATTTCACGAGCTACAAAATGGTATATAAAACATAAAGGAACGAGAAGGCTAACTCACCTATTACAAAGATAATTAAACGGAAATAGGTTCCGTTTTTGTTCACCATCTAATTGACTCACAATTCGAGCTCTATCTTCCGATCATAGAGTTGATACTTTGAGGTTTTCTGGGGCGGAGAACTCGAATCCGTACTCCACTTGCCTCGAAATACTATTGGTTGAGTAGTGACCAATAGAAATCAAGTTATAGGAAAAACGACTTTCTTAGGGTAAATCAAGGCGAAGAGTTCAAATTTGAGCTCTATTCGCCTCCAAGCCTTATTGATGGATCAATAGTCAACAGAAATAAACAGTTTATAGGAAAGGTTTCCCAGTATAATTTTGATATCCACATATTCTAGGATGACTCATCTGTCTAATTCACTTTTTGAAGTACACATAACTCTCGGATTTAAATTCGAAGTTTTCGCATTTATTTTATTATTAAGCTTTGCTTTTATTATACATGAAAACATTTATATAATTCGAGAGCCATTTTCAGAGAGTTTTGTCGATTATTGAAACCTTTTGATCCATTTTCTCCGCCTAAAAAGTAAGAATTACGAAAAAAAATAGCTCTGTACTCCACTGCACTCTGACATGTTTCTTTCAAAGAAAATAAAATAAAAAATATACAATGAGTTTAGACAGAGAGCTTTGTTTTATAAAATGAGCTATTATTAACCATTGTTTGGCCAATATCTCTCTCAAACGTCATGATTATCGAGCTGAAAATTCGATCATAGTTTGTCCACTATATTTCCAATATATTCAAAGAATTTCATGCCATTTTAACATTTCTTGGTGGAGATCGATTTTTGAAGAGTTCAGAGACCTAAGGATACCCCTTCTTTTATTATCCATCTCTGGTTCTCGAATAGAGTACAACTGATCAGTCGGAAATCTTTACCACAGATAGAGCACCTCAAAAAACAAGAAAATGATAAATATGTTCGAGGATAAAAATTTATCGAAGATTTTAGAAACGCTTGCTCGAAAAATCTAGTTTTCCGTAGGAGCACAGCTAACCATATTACAATCCCTCCTCCCTCTCCCCATCAAACTTTGTTCGATTGGGCTGAACATTTTGTTTTTTTGTTTTTGAGATACCTTAAACTATATCTCAAAGGTAACTTTAAACTTTTTCAAGAATCTTACTTTCTCTTTGTTTTTTTATGTGATGTAACAAATACATAAAGGTTCGTATTGAAGTTGTGTGGGTTAGCTCTTTCAAGATCCTATAAATCTGGACAGGAAGTTCAAAACTGAAAATGGTCAATTTTACCTGTGAAGAGTAATGCTCAATAGTTGTTCTAAAGATTACAGTCCGATCGGACAAGGTTAGAGTGAGATTGCCAGCGAAATAGATTGAGAAAAGTCAAGTTTTGCATTACTGTAAATAGAAGAAAAGAATTTCAATAGGATTAGTATGACAAAAAAAATTTGTTAATTGAGTAAGTCTATAAGATTAAGCTATTTAGAGTGAATTGATGTTTTTACTTAAATATAACCTTTGAGCCTATAATATCTTATGCCGAGATCAAAATTGAATTTTTCGTCGAAAAAGAAGGGAGAGGGATATTCTTAAAGATTAATAATCAAAGATAATTCTTATTAAATATTCATTGAGAAAATCGAATATCTATAATAACATGAAATATATTGTCTCAATATTGAAAAACTTTGTTTGATAATTTCATTTATTTATTATTGGGTTTGTTAAAATGTTTTATTATAATAGATAATAGTATAATAAATATTTCTATAAATAAATAACAAAATATGATTAATTTAAAAACTGATCAAGTAAATTAATAATTTAAAGCATTTTTAATAGAGTATTGATTAAAAAAACTTTATCTTATTTTTTTTTAAATGATTTTAATTATTTATTTTTCTCATTAAATTAAATATCGTTATTGAATTTAAAAAAATGTCAACTAAATATTTGTTTATTTAAATAAAAATCATTTATTAAATTTAAACATAAATTATTGAGTAATATTCTTCTCTCGGTGTCTTTTTTCATTTTGTTTTGTTTATTTGAAATAAATAGGAAAAACAAAAACAAGAACAACAAGAAGTCAAATAAATGAAAAATAAATTTAAATTGTTAAGAATAGTTAAATCTGTCAAAGAAGATTCTTATATTGAGATATTAATGTAATGTTTTTATCATTGATAATCTTTATAAAATATTTATGATAAACGAATTGAATTATATATAAGTTAATATTAATATTCTATTGAAAAAGATAAAATATAATTGACTTTAAATAGATAGATATATACTATTAGTAAAATAAATTATTTTTGTTTATTATCATATTTAAACAAGTTATATATATATATATATGAATATTTATATTAATTGTTCGAATTAATAAATAAATATATTTTAATTTGATTAATGTTTAGTTAAATGATAGTTTTGAAAATAAGTCTATTATCGTTGATAATTGTTATTTATTAACAAATAAATATATTATTTATCTTGATTATTTTTATTAGAAATATGATCTTTATTAACAATGATAAATATTTATTTATTTTCAATAATAATATATATATATATAGATATATATTTTCTTTTTTAATAAATATTAAATCGATTATCTCTCATATTTGTTTCTTAATAAATAAATAAGTTGATTTGTTTTTTAGAAAAGAAAAAAAAAAGAAAATTCTTTTTAATATAATGATCAAAAAAATGTTAAATGATATATAGAATATAGATTGAATTGTCAAGAATAGAAAATAATATTTATTCTTGTTTATTAATGCCACTCATCAGCGCTGCTGCTCTTCTCTTTTTTTTTTCTTTTAATGAAAAAAAAAAAAAAAAAAAAAAAAACAAACGTTGTAATGACAAGAAATAAAAACAAAAAAAGAAATAATCAAAGTGGCTTATGTTAATGTTTCTTCTTGTGTTTGATCGTTTATCTTAAAACAAATCTTATTTGTTTCATTCAGCCAATTCCTAAAATAAAACAAATAGAAACAAATAGAAAAAACTCTAAATTAAAATAGTAAACGAACCATAATGGCATTAACAATATCATTGTTACATTTTCTTAAAGCTTTAATTGCTTTTGAACGTGATGTTTTGGATTGAGACATAACTAATTGTATATCATTTTCTTCAATACCTTCAGCATCAACCTTATTTAAATAAATAATTTATATTAAAAAAACAGAAGGAAAGAGAAAAGGAAACCTGTTCATCTTCATCAGTTTCTTCATGAATAGTTTCTGTTTTTGTTGCTGATTTTTCATTAAGATTTTTATCTGTTGTTGATTTTTCATTTTGATTTAATTGATTTGTTGTTTGATCATTTGTATTAATATTTGTTCCTGGTTGATTTTGTCCAATATTTTTAAATTGATTAGCAGCAGCTATTTGTGCTCGTTGTGAAAGATCTTCAATTTTGGCTTCACCAAAAACAATATATGTATCTGATGCTGGACTTTTATAAACATCAGGTTTTTGAATAACAAATAATATATTTTTAGATTTTCGTATTGTAACACGAAGAATTCCTTGAATTGGACGTAAACCAAGTTTAGCCATTGCTTTACGAGCTTTTTTTTCTGAACGTGTTTGTTTTTGTTTTGATTGTAATTCTTCTTCAATACCAGCTGCTTCAGCTAATGGATGACTTTGTTTAACTTCTTCACTTTCTTTTTCACCTTCATTACCAGATTCTTCTGATGAACTTGATTCCGAATCTAGTTTTTTTTTTAGTACAATATTTAAATAAATAAGTATATTTAACAATATTGAATATTAGTAATTTTTATTTTTTCTTTTATTTTATTAAAATAAAAAATAAACTCGAGTTTTTTACTTAAGGGTGCAACAAATCTTGAATAGATTTGGAATTTGGCACCAAATATTTGAGATTTGGATTTGGTTATGGTTCGGATTTAGTTCCTAGATGTGGATTTCATCTAGATTTGAATCTCAGGATTGCTGCTATCGCTTTGTTTGATTGAGATTTGGGATTCAGAATTGGTGATATGCTTGAAATTTGGGATTTCGATTTGGACTTGGATTTGGGATTTGGTTTCAATCTAACATGACTCCAACTTTGTCGTCTTGTTAAATTGAAACCAAATCTCAACCTCCAAATCCAAATCCTACCTAAACCCCAACCTGCTATACACCAAATCTCAAATGCAAATCTCAAAACCCAAATCTATACCAAACCCAATCCATTTCATATTAATTAATAAGATTTGGGATTCTTTTCTCCCTTCTGGGACTTTATTTTACAAAGCCTCGTCATATTTGGGTAATTTAAGATCAAACCCAAACTCAAATCCCAGTCTAGAACAAACCCAAATCTGTTTGTACCAAATCCCAAGGCATTGGGTTTGTTGCAGCCCTATTTTTCCTTGAATATTCAATTTATTTTTCATATTTACTTAAGAAAGATTTTGTTTATTTTGATTTTTCCGAGCAAAAGAAAAAAAAAGTAAAAGTGATAAATGTAAAATGTTACCATCTTTAACATCTTTTATTTGAACAGATGATTCAGGTTGATTAAGATCATTTGATGTTGATTGAACAGATTCAGTTGCAAGAACTGGCATTGTTTATTTATCTCTAGACGATAAAATATAAATCTAAAATTGAATATTATTTAAAAACAATATATTTGACGAACGCAAAAACACAATACAAATACATTAAAACAATTTTAAAGAAACATTTTTTTCTTTTTTCGATAAACAAAAGAAAAAATTTAATTTTAATTTTAAAACGGATGAAGAAAAAAAAAACGAAACAAAAAAAAGAAAAAAGAAAAAAAGATAAATTATGTTTGTTGATATTTGTACAAGAATAATTAAAACGAACAAAGATGTAGAAGACAAGAAACAAAACACGAGATAAATTAATGTGAGAGAATTTTTTATTTATTATTTATTATTTATAAAATAAAATATTTTTTTGTTATAATAATTGTTTCATTCTTAATGCAACTAAAGCTGCATTAATACGACCTTCAGGATTTTGATCCCAACATTGTTCCATAGTAAAAAGAATTTCTTTTATTATTCTATTATCGGATGTTTTCCATGATGATTTAATAAATGGACGATTAAAAGGTTTTTCAAGATTAATTATTTTTAACATATCATTTACTTCAGGATTTTTACAATTTAAACCATGTTCAATTAATTGTTTATCATATGCTTTTTCATATTTATTATCATTATCTAGAATAATATTAAATATTTAAATATTATCGGTTTTTTTTTATTTTAAAATAATAAAACCTTGATTTGGATATCTTGATAATACTTCCCAAAATATTATTCCAAGAGCATAAACATCACATTTAAGTAAAGCATTTGTTTCACATCCAATTGTTCCAGCTAAGATTTCTGGTGACATATATCGAGCTGTTCCAATCTTTTCGATTTTTTTTAAATAAAAACAAAAACAAAATTATTTTTTTTGACAAAAAAAACCTTCAGATTAAATAAAACCTGTTGTTGTTCATTTGGATAATTTTGATTTTGATCAAGTTGAATAGCCATAGCAAAATCTGAAATAACTAATCTATTATCATTTAAATAAAGTATATTATCGCTTTTTAAATCTCTATGTGCTATTGGTGGACGAGAATTAAATCGACGATAATCAGTATGAAGATATTCAAGACCATCGGATATATCTTTTAATATTAATATTAATTCATATTCATCTTTTAATAAACGTTTTTCAAGTACATCACTTAATGAACCATATTTACTTAATTCAACTATAATATAATTATCATCATTTGTTATACAATAACCATAATATCTATTTTATCTTAATTAAATGATTATTTTAATAATAAAAAAATAAAACTTACTCAAGAATATTTTTATGTTTCATATTAGTTAATGAATAAATATTTTTTTCATGTTCAAATAATATTTTTGAATGAATTAAATCAATTTTATTTGATAAAATTTTAACAGCAACTTGTTTATTATTTAATCGAGCTTGATAAATTTCTGAAAATCTTCCTTTTTTTAAAATATTTTCAATAATTAAATCATTTATATTTATTTCTTTATCTGATGGAATTAAAGGTGTAACTATTGATGGATCAGATTTTAATGATTTATCAAATATACGACAAATTTTTTCTTGACTTCGGACAAATTTTTTTCGATAATTTATACAAACAATTATTATTATTATTATTATTAAACTAATTATTAAACATATTAACATTATATGGAATTTATTACATAATACATTTGAACATGGACCTTAAATAAGAAAATTATTCAATTCTTACTTTTTTATTTTATAGAATATTTATTAATTATACCTTGAGTTGTTGTTGTTGTTGTTGTTGTTACCGTTGATGTATAATTATCAACTAGATTATTTCTTAATTAAAAAAATCAAAGTAATATATAAAAAATAGAAAAAATTAAACTTACATAATAATATTATAATTACAATAATCATTGTCACAACAACAATGTAAATATTTTTTATCTTTATTGGTATAATTTAATAAACATTTAGTTTGATTTTTACATGTTTTACTTGTTTCTTGATCATACATACAATCCATTTTGCCAACAATTATATCATTTATATTATTTACAATTGTTGTACAATAAACTCCACCACGAATATTTGATGACATTTCAGATGATTGACATTCTTTTATATCATATTTACATGTTGAATTATAATGACAATTTGCTGGCCATGCTGTTTTACATTTAAGACTCAATACCATTTTTCCTAAATAAATAAAATAAAAACAAGAAAACAACAAGATAAATCTATTTTAGATATTTCTATTTATTAAATATACCTAATAAAATAGAAATAATTAATTTAAATATCATATTTATATAATATTAATAAACTAATTGTAAAATTGTCACGGATCAATAAACAGAAAGGAAACCATTGTTAACCTTGTTGGAGAAAATAACCAACTAACATGTTTCTTTTTATTCTATTTATCATTAACCATCCTACTTTAACATCGACCTCCTATTCACTATTTATTAAACTCCATTTATTAAATCTTTTTTTTCTTTAAATATTTTATAAACAATAAATATTTTCTTTTTTTTCTCACATTTACATTTATAAATATATAAATATTCGATTTCAATTAATAAAACTAGTGACATCTATAACAATGACATCTTTTCTTTTTCTTTTATTTTATGTTTTTTCAATATCGATCGATTATCATTCATTATGATCATATTTATTTATTCTATAATAAACTGTTTTTGTCAAAATACAATAAAAAATAGTCAAAACTTCTATATATAATTAACAATATTTTATTCTTTATTAACTTAAAACGAAATTTATTTATCCTATAATAAGCTAATTTATTTGTTAGATAAACCGTTTAGTAACAATCATTTACCATCAGACGTTTATCAAAATATACTCTATTCAATATAGATATTTAATTATATTAACATATTGATAGATTAGATCAGAGTTGGAATCGGATCGGTAAAAACTCAAAAATTCACCAGTTGAAATTTGAAAATATCTTCATTTTGCTTTCGACATTTTTCTTTAAAACAAAAATCTTTTACGTTTTTTGCTATGAATTAGATGAAATGATGTCTTATCGATATATTATATAGAAATCCTTTTGAAACTGTCGACAATACAGCAAAGTTGGAATAAATAATGATTTATTCTCATTGATAATCATTGTATAGGATTGTATATCTTAGATTTATAATTATACTGCTTTTATTTATTATGCACTGCACGGCGATGAAAAGACGATTTGATAATTAAAAAATTCTAACAATGGAGGTATTTGTATTGTTGAGTGAAAAGACTAGATATTTTTACATCAAAAGAAAGCTCTCACCGCCAATATAACAAGGTTAAAATATTAGCGGCCGTTGGCTTGTCTAGAGGGAGATATTCAATTTTTACCATATTCATGATTTGGGTATATAGGAGCATTAGGATCATTTACGTCAATTTTTTATGCAATCAATTAAGTATTTCACTAGTAGGATTTAAGGATCTTATTGAAATTCATTAATAGCATTAAGATCATATTAGTTTCGATGTCTTTTCGAACCCAAGTTATATCGAAATGGAGAAAAAGATACATGATTGTTTGAAAAGTGACTTGCGCGTATAATATTCGAACTTAAAGTGCATTGATGCATCACTTGGTGGTCTATTGAACATTTATTTGCAATTGTTGTTAAAAAATCACAAAGAATTATACTATTGAAGAGTTATTCTCTTTTGTTCTCTGCTGAATCTATTGAATTGAAAAGTTTATTTCTTCAAATTAAAAAATGAATGTATTAAACATCTTCTTTATTTGGCTGAAACTGAATATACATCTGAAAATTCTGCAACAACTGCCGATGAAATTTTTGCTGCCGAACGATTGTTCGAAATTCTGAAGTCATTCAAAGACAGCTAATTCAATGAGCTGTATTCTTATGACACTCTCGAAGTTGAAGATGAATTTGATGAAATGACTGATGAAGAAGAAGGCGATGATGAAATTGACGATTACAATGAGAATGAATATTCTGATATAAAAAATCGTTTTACATTAGAAGAAATGGAAAATATAATCGAATGGGTTGACCAATATCCGAATGCTGGATTCGCTACTATTTCCCATCGATTTAAAAAAGACAAATACATGCATTATACTCTAAGGTTTAGACAATATATCGAAAACAACGGCACAAGATTAGAAAAATTAAAGCAAGTTAAAGAATTTATGTTTAATGAATTCTATATGAAAAGAACAATTGAAAAAGAAGCCGTTCATGATGCTGATCTAGAACTTTTTGCAATTCAGAAAGCAAGAGAATTAGATTGGGATACGTTCAAGGCAAGCAAATCATTTATCAATACCTTTAAAAAGGAAAATAGAATATCATCAAGAAGATATAACAAAATTATTACTCGAACTAAACCAAACAAAAATATTTGCAGTTTAGACGGTATGTAAACTTTTATTGAATCCTTAAGTACATATGTCTTAATGTAATGTGCATATATACTTTAGATGCTCATAATTAGATCGAAAGTAAACACCTTTAATATCAAAGTATTCTACCAATGAAATCTTAGACAGCGATCATTGTTCATTTCAACAAGAATATGTATCCCCCCAAGAACCCTTTCTTTTACTAGTGAAAGAACAACAGAAGTAGCCGTTAAAAAGAAATATAATACAACACATTCTTATACAGTTCAACTAGTTACATCAGCTAATGGGTATTTATTGGACAAGTTCTTACTCATTCTTCAAGAAAAAGAAAACCAATTCGGTCAGAGAGTGCAAAAAAATTTAATTATACCACCAAATGTTGTAGTAATAGCTTCAAAATCTGGAAAAAACAGTGGTGAAAAACATTACGCTTTTTTAACTTAAGTTCTACGTCCTTTGGTGGGTAAAAAATTTCTTCTCTTCCTTGATTGTTGGAAAACTCAAGTTGATCTAACCAAATTTCGAGCAGTGTTTCCTAATCAAAATAGTCAGTTATTGATTTTTTCCGAGGGATCAACCGGTTATATTCAACCACAGGATTTTTCTTTGTTTCGTTCATGGCGATTTATTCATGAAAAAATCGAGCATTATACCCATATCAATCGAACAGAAATGACTATAAGTGATCGTCAATATTTCATCAACATACATTCTATTATTCATAATCAATTATCAGCTCCACCATTTACAAATCTTATTAAGAATGGATTTATACAAGCTTGAATAACAAATGAAACAATTGGACAGATTGAAAAACCAAAAGATGTCTGTTTTAGATTTTATGATCTATACTGTTCAATTAATAATTGCAATGAGCGAACATTATTAATGTGCGCTTGGTGTAAAAAAAACTCTTTGTTACTACCATCTGGTTGAAGATTTACATCTTCACTTGTAGTGAATTTCTTAAAATAGCCTATTATATAATCTATTACTTTCAATTAAAATAAAATGGAAACTATTGGCGACTTGAAGATATTGATAGCTACTAGCTGACCTTTATCTATATCAATACGAGTTAAGCTCGAAAAGACATCGAAACTAATATGATCTTAATGCTATTAATGAATTTCAATAAGATCCTTAAATCCTGCTAGTGAAATACTTAATTGATTGCATAAAAAATTGACGTAAATTATCCTAATGCTCCTATATACCCAAATCATGAATATGGTAAAAATTGAATATCTCCCTCTAGACAAGCCAAGGGCCGCTAATATTTTAACCTTGTTATATTGGCGGTGAGAGCTTTCTTTTGATGTAAAAATATCTAGTCTTTTCACTCAACAATACAAACACCTCCATTGTAAGATAGATATATTAAATGAGAATAAGAGAATATTGAGAAAAAATTATTTTTCAATATTCGCGTGTCCTTTGCATTAGGATATTCATTGAGAGACAATCTATTATGACCATAATCAACTAGAATATTCTCGATATTCAATTTCGAATAAATGAGAATATATCATCAATTGGAAAGATTAACCATATATTTTCCATGGGCTTCTTGAAAATTTTAATTGCGTTTAATCAGAAATTGAAACTCTGTAAAAGTATTATAAAATATTTGTTCTTAGCCGAACTTCTTCGAAGTTTGATAAGAAAACATACAATATTCATTTTCAGCTATTTCTACTCATATCACAACTGGAATAGGTCCGACCAAACCGGTAGAGATCCGAATTTGATCGGCTAAAAGTTTTGAAAAATCTTATTTGTTCACTGTTTTTGGCTATAAAAACTAATGTGTCATATGTTTTTATGTCAGAATGTGTAAAAACAAAAACAAATGCTCAAAACATATCTTAATTTAATCATTTATTCTGAGGTTCTTTTTAAAAATAATGACTATCTCTTAGATACACTCGTAAACTAGTTCATATTTGAAGTTATGTTTTATTCAAAAAACAAAAGGTTTTTCAGAAAAATTCTCCATTTTTCTTTTGTCAGTTTTAGCCAGAATTTGACCGGTTGTATATATTATATTCAACTGGCTGTATTGGACCATTTTATAATTTTCTTACCGATTCGAAGATAACATTAGATAAACGTTAACAAATAATATTGTTCCTGATAATAAATATAATAATAGTTTAACCTGAATATCCTATCATTAATTAGATTATTGACAAATGATGATTTCATATCTATTTATGAAATTGACAAATGTTGAAAAAAAACGGGGACTGCAAAACTAAATAATTTAATTATGGTTAAAACTGTAAAAATGCTTAAACAAAAATAAATAAGATGAAGATAGTTATTCAACGAATAGATAATAATTCAAATATTAATCTTTCAATTCGATTTTATTTTTGTTATTAGAGTTTATCAAAGATTTCGAAGATGGAAAAATGTCAATATCGAATTTATTTTTCATATGATTTTATTTTAATTGTTTTCTATTAGGAATGTTTCTATCAACAACAATTAAAAAATGTTTAATTAAACTATTTAAAAACAAATTCGACATTCAGATATTCGAGAGTTCGAATATTTCAACTTAAAATAATATCGATAAAGTTTAAGGAAAATATTCAAACATATGATTTTATTCGACAATTTAACTTAAAGAAAGATCTTTAGATAAAATCTCAATATCTTAGTTAAATAATATCATCTCCTTAAAATTTTTCTATCCTATAGATATTCTACTTATCAACAATATATCAAGTTAAAACGAGATGAATCATTTCGAAATATTCTAATAGTTCTTTATTCTATAAATATCGATAAGTTCTATGAATAATATTTCAAAAATAATTCTCTTTTTTTTAATTATTACTCAAATTTGATTAACAATAATAAAATCAATGAGATTTTATATTTCTTTTGTTTTTTTTTAATTCTTATTAAATTAATTAAAATAATTGCATAAAATTAATCATTTTAAGTTCTAGACGATTAAAAGTTCGTTTGAAGAAATTTATCTTTGAATAGTGCTTATCAATGGAAATATATAAGATTAATTTACTCGTCGAATTAATAGAGATTATTAAATATTTTATTTCTTTCAACTTTTCATTAATTTATCTTTAATTATTTAATGTGATCTTTTCTTTTTTTCCTGATAAAAATGTTTTCTTTTGTTGTTTTTTCATCGATATCAATATCATTTATATTCATCTATTCAATAGATTATCGAACAAATATTTTCTAATGAACTTTCTTTCAAACATTTATCATATTTTATATTCAATCAGTCAGTTATTATTGTCCGAGTATAGCACATATATTCACTGATCAACATGTATCAATCAATAAAAATTGATCGTTACAATAATAAAATCTTCAATTCATTTCACAATCAGAATTAAACAATAAAAAAAATAGTGAATATATTAACTAATTGTTTATATTTATGAAATATATCATTTGGTATTGATGCACTTATTATCTATTCTTATATATATATATAATTATTTGTTTTATGTTTAGTGACATTATAATAAATAAACTCTAGTTTGATTATTTATCTTGACTATAAACATATCTCTTATATATTCGATAATATTCTTTTTAAAATAATAATAGAAAGTTAAATTAATCGATAACAATTCGTTATAAACAAAAAACGAAAAAAAAAACGAAATCTTGAATATTATTATACAAAGGTTTGATATACGTAAATGTTGCTATTAATCAGATTAATATGATAGATAGCTATTATCTCTTCAACAATCGAGAACAATAAACGAAAATGATCATTCGATTAACTAACATTAACATAATCAGCACTTTTTATTATCAATCAATTTTTTAATAAGAGTTTTTGTAGATCTCAATTGAAAGTTATTTTATTTAAATAAATATACCAATATCATTCAATTTTCATATTATTCTTTACAAATAGAAGAATATTTTTAAATTTCAATTTCAATTTCAAAATAATTTATATTATTATTATTATTGAAGAACTCAATGAACTCTTTCATCAAACAAAATTTTGAATTAAAATAAAAGATTTTCATATTATAATAAGAATAAATTTCAGTTTTTCTTTTTATTTGATCAATATTTGAATATTCCTGATAGAATTCTATTATCGATCATTTTCCTTCAATAATATTATTATAGATATTAATTATTCTAGAAAACAAAACATTTACAAAAAAACTTTTTCCAAGTGCGACGCACCGTTTTCAGTATCTTGTATGAATCGTTCATTTCCATGCCCTGTTTCTGAGAAAATTACGTCCACTTTGAGTCGGAAATATCTATGGTGAAATACTCTTTGACAAGAACAGAAAAAAAAAAACGTCTCAATAAAAATCATTGTTGTCAATTATTGATTTTTTGTGTATCTAATAAATTATACTAAATCATTGATAGTTTCATTTTCGGTAAAACAAATTTCATTTTAATAGAGTTCAATATCGAAATTTCCTTTATTTTAATCTTCTTGATATCACTAATGTTCGTTAACTCCTACCACAATCACTTTTTTCAAATAGAATATTAAACGATAAACTGATATAATTGATGTGTATAACAATAAATTTTCAAACTATAATTAATGAGAATATAAAAAGTAAAAGAAATTTCGATATTAAAGTTTGTCGAATGAAATAAAATTTTTCTAATAATAGTGAAATAATTTTGAAAGAAGGAATTAGATTTATCTGTAGAATAACAGACTATCGAAATGAACGGTTCATACAATGAACTATGATCGACTAAATGACATAATGCACATTGAAAACGGCGCGTGCTACCTGCGGAGGTTATTTCCTAAGAATTCACCTTGTGATGGTAATGTTAATCATTATATTGGCTCTTTATTTTGTTCAAGTCTTAGAATGTATGTTAGGATATATTTAAAACATCAACCATAATAATAGAAGTTAGTTAGATTTTTAAAATAAATCATTTGTTTTTTTCGTCGGAGTCATTTGTGGATGTCTTCTCTTAATTAGCTGTTTGTCGAGGCGTTGAGAACATATGTGAGGAGTGTTGTGCTGTAAAATTTCTATATATGACTATATAGAGTATCTCTCTAATTTCAAGATTGATTCAAGTTCGACAACTAATGAACTAGTCAATATGATTATGTTGTGGTAGAGATCTATATCAATAAAATGAATATTTTAAAGTGAATTGGAATATAATAATAATAATAATAATGATTTATTTAATAAATGATATATATTCTTTAATATAAATCAATTAAACGAAAGAAAGAAAAAAAGAAAGAAAAATTAAATTTGTTCAGTTTTTTGTCGATCTTTTTCAATTTGTAAAACTTTTTTTGTTAAACTAGTTAAACAATTTGAATTTGAATCATCTGAAAGTGATCGTTTGATTGAATTATTTGTTTGATGTCCAAAAAAAAGATTTTTTTCACATCTATTAATAAGAATATTATCTTGAAGTTCATTTGAATTATTTATATTTGATATTGTTGATATTGTTGTTAAAAATTTTCCATCTTCTGTTCGAGTTCGAGTTGTTCTTACTGTATTATTTGCACCTAAAATTAATTAAGAAATTATTTACCTTTTTTTTTCTTTAAATAAAAACAAAAGAAAACATTTCTATGAATATATATATAGAATTTTCTTAATATAATATCAGGTTTAAATGAAAATAAGACAAATTAAATTAATTGAACAAAAACAAAACAAAAAACTTCGTCAAGATCTTAAATCTGTAAAAAAAACTATTTAACTATATTAATGAGAATTATATTTTAAATAAATTCTCCCGTTTCTCTATATTAAATCGAACTATAATCATATTTATCATTGATTAAATAAAATAAAATATATATATATTAATTCTTATTGAAATGAAATCTATATTGAATAAGGCTGTTGATTATATATAGATAATGATAAAAAAATGGTTCAATAAAAAAAAAAAATATTTATTTTTTTGTTTTTAGTTATTTACTCGATTTCAATATATAAATAACTAAATATAAGATTAATAATAAATAATTTCTATTATTTTACTTTATAAATATATATATTAAAATAAATTTATTAAAGATAAGATAATATAATAACCTGCTTGAATTGATGATGATAAAACATTTGATGTTTGATTTGTTCTAATATCTGTTGTTAAATAATGAGATTGATTATTTGAATAAGAATATAAATTTGATTGAATTTTATTTGATGAATAATTAATAAATATATTATCATATATATTTATATTAAAATGTCCTCTTTCAACATTTTCAAATGTTTTATTTCTATATGGAAGATCAATTAATTGATTTGTTTTAAAATAATTTTCAATATTTATTTCAAGATTTTCAATATTAAGATAAATTTCTTTATAAAAACTAGTTATATCACCAATTATATTTCCATCAATTAAATGAATTGTTCCAGCTGGTTTTGATGGTGTTAAACATGGATTTTTATCTTTATATATAGAAAAATAAATAAATATATTTATATATTGAAAGAAGAAAAGAAATAAAATTTACCAATATTATCTTCATATTGAATAAAATCATTTTTATTAATTGAACGAATAAAAACACTTCGAACTGTTTTTAATTTCGAATTAGGTAATGATTTATATGCTTGTATTAAATAAAACCATGTTAATTCTTGTTTATCAAATTGATTTCGAAATAAATTTGAATTAGCAAGATAATAAATAGATGATAATAATATTTGATCGATTTCTCGTGAACGAAATAATAAATCAGTATAATTTTCAAATAAATAAATAAATAAATTCCAAACTAATTTTTCAAATTTATTTGATTGAGATCCATATAAACGATAACATATTACATCAAGACGAGATAATACATATTCATATAGTTTACGATAAAACATTATATATGGACTTAATTTAACATTTATTTCACCACTTTTTTCAACTAACGAATCCGATTTACTTCGATTTATTGATAAATTATTCTAAATAATATTCAAATTTTTTCTTTAATAAATCATTTCAAAGATTTATTTTCATTATCAAAAATAAATTTGAAGTTAAATAAAAAAAACTTGATTATATACTGACTAAACAAAAAATGTTAACGATAATAAATAGTCCAATTCGGAATAATCTATTCTCTCTTGTTATTATTTAAAAGTGTTTAAGACTAATCAAAGATTTCTAAATTATACGATTGATTATTATAGAAATAAATTCTCCTTAATTGTCGACATTAATCATTTTCAGATCCAAAAAACGATTTAATTGTAAACATTATTATTGAGAAAATCCATTGACTATCCTTAATTTAAAAAAAAAAGCATTAAACTAGTGATAATTCAATGACAGAAACAAAAAGTTAAAAGAGAATATATTATCTATTATTTAAACAGGTGTTCTATCGAAGATGTTGAGAAGATAATATTAGTGAAAATAATTAATATATTTAAAGAAATTGTGATTGATAATATTCTATAGTATATAAATTCTATTTTCCTATTATATTTGATATTATATTTAATAATATTTATTCTAATAAAAAAGGTAAAATTAATCTTACAGTTGTTTGATTTGTTGTAGTATTTGATTGAAATAATTTTCTTGATACATTTGTTTGATTAGGTGATTGAATAAATAATGGAGTTAAATTATTTGATGGTGATAATGTATTATTAATATTTGATTTAATTGATGATATTTGTTTATATGATAAAATACCTTTTGATTTAATATCATTCCATAAAGATGATTTATTTGAAAAAGCCATTGATGATAATATTATTTCTTCAATTGATGATAAATATTTAATAAATGATCTTGATTTCCTTATTTGTTTAGAAGTTTTTAAATAAATTTGTATTATTTTAATAAATGAATATCCATCTAAATTAAATATATTTAATATCCAATTTAAATCATGATATTTATCAGAATGTGCATATAATACTAATAATATACATAAACCAAGAACAGATCGAATAAATTCATTATTTAATATTAATTTACTAAAATAATATTTATTTATTTATTTATTTATTTATTTATTTAAAATAAAATAATTATTTACTGAAATGATTGTTGAATTTGTTGTAAATCAATTTTATTTGATAATCGTTGTTTTTCAATAGTTAAAATATTTTCAATAGAATTATAAAATAATTTTAATGATAAATCAAAACGTGATTGACATGATTGAGATGGATGTTCTTCTTTATTAACATTAACATTTTCAATAATATCATATGTACTTTTAAATATATATTCACATTCATTTAAACGTTCAACCAAATCATCTAAACTTTTTATTATATTAACTAATTATTTACAATTAAATAAAAAAAGAAACTTTTTTTTTTATATGTACAATATCTGACTATTAAACAAACAATATATATTAATTGAAAGCTTTTTTTTTAAATAGAAATTCATCAGAACTTTTCTTTTTTAATTCTATAGATTTTTTCTCTCACTCAATTATATATATGAAAAAGGTGTTTTTTTCTCTTCTCTTCTCTTCTCTTCTATCTATTTAATAGTGTTGAAATCTATCAATAAGACTAAGTATATGAGCTAATGTAATTATCGTAAATATAAATCTGTCGAAATAATAAATAAATATATAAACCTAGAAATGTTTGTTGACCAATAATTGAAATAAGATTAGTATTTGGTTTGTTTGATTGTTGTTGAACAATTGAATATAATAATTGAATTAATTGATTAGCTTGTGATATAGGTGTTAAATATTGATTAAATGATATTGATTGATTATCATTTGATGTAAAATGTTTATTTGCTGTTAATGGTGTTCGATTTTGATAAGATTTTGAATACCGATTTTCATTTAAACAATTTAATAAATCATTTAATTTTAAATTATTTTCTAAAAAAATTCTTTCATCAATAATACAATTAGTTAAAACAAATTCATCATATTGACGATTTATATCACGTATTGTATCAATATAATTTAATTCATTTAAAAAATCATCTTTTTTATTAAGACGTTTTAATAAATCATTTTTAAAATGTTGTTCAATTATTGTTTGACATATATCAGATGAACAATTATACATTTCACATAGATTTTCTAATATATTTCCATCATTTGAACATAATATATTTAAACAAGTACCTTAGAATTAAGAAACAATAAAAAAACTTAATATAATAGAAATAAATAATATTACCTTTAAGTAAATAATCTAAATTAGCTAATTTAGCATAATGATAAATAAAATAAAAAGAAGAAATAAGTAAATGATATGAAGCAATAAGATCATTTATAGTTGATGGATAAATTGTTTTTGTTAATGCATATATTGTCCATATAAGAGAATATAAATCTTGATGAGAACATTTATTTATTTTTGTTTTTGTATTTAATTTAGGATTTATTTGATATGATGTTCGTTTTAATTGATAATCGGAATTAATTAATTTATATTGATTTCCACCAAATATTTCAATAAAGATTTTTGTATATTTTTCAAATAATATTGATGATATATTAAATGCATGTTCAACTTGATCGATTTTTGAACGAATTTGATCAGGTAAATTAGCCATATCTTGCCATTTATGTAATTTATCAAAAAAAACAATTAATTCTAAATTATTAGCACTTTTTAATAAACGTGATATTGATATTGGATTATTATTATCATTTGTTGTTAAAGATTTTGATCGACGACATGATACATATAATGATATAGCTAACCAATGTAATTGATCACCTTCTAATACATAATGTTTACGAATATGTTCATAGGAACGCCATGCATCTAATTTTGTTTCCATATCCATATTTAAATCAAGACATAATTTCGAATATAAACTTTCAATTGATTCTTCATCAATTGAACTCATTTATTTTCTTTCTTTTTTTTCTTTAATTATAAAACAATACACTAAACAAAAATCATTTAGATTAATTAGAAATAAAAACAAAAACAAAAACATAAAACACTTACATTAACAAAAATATTCTTCAATTATAAAGATTTATTTCGAATCGATTTTTTTTTGTTTTCTTCAATATGATATATATATATATGTACGTTGAGAGTAGTTTAGTCTGACGACAATTCAATCATATTTATATTCGTCTAGATTGACGTTTTCTTTTCTGTTTTTTTTTCGCTTGTGTTCGTTGGTGTTTTTTTTCCCAAACAGATTAAATTGACCAACCAATGAGAAAATATTTATTTGACTTAGTTCACTGAAAGGTCATCATCATCTATGATAAGAATAAAAAACAGATTAGAATATATAACCAATAATCATCATGTTTTCATTTAATTTATTCAATAGATAATATCAGAAAAAACCTGATAGATTTATTATTCTGATTGACAGACAACAATTATTTATCATAATCTCAAACACATTTTTTTCTAATTAACAAATCGACAAGAAAATATAATCAGATTAATTTACAATTATTATTTTCTTCATATAAGCAAATAGTGCTTTTTCTTTTTTTTAACTTTTAAATAAAAACAAATTTTTTTCTTTCATATTCATCTTAAAAAATTTAATATATTTATATGATTTGATATTATTCGAATTGAACTATAATATATCAAGCGACTATATTCAATTAAATGAAAATATTTTTTATCAAATTTGTTTCATTATATAAAAAATAATGAACAATTCTTTCGTAATATATGTATATATATATCTCGACGAAAAAACTAAAAGAATTTTCTAACAAAGAACATCCATCGAACAATTCTATTCGCTCATTTCAAATGATCTCCGTAATAGGTAGGGAGAATTTTTTTCGGATAGATTATTTTTATGAATTTATCTTTTTTTTTAATTTAAAAATAATATTTCAATGAATATATTTAACATAATTAAATAAGTTTTATTTCAATCGATAACTAGCGACATCATTTAGATATAGATCAATACAGTGTTCCGAATGAGAATTCGATATAAAGTGCAATATCGTACTCTTTTTCTGGAGGTAAAGTGAGATGTTGCACTCAGTTTCAAGAGCCAAAGTGCAGCAAAGTGCAAATGTATAAATACGTCTAGAAAAAAGAAATAATAGTTTATGTTTCATACTCTAGACTTCTATGTGCATGTATACATATAAATAATTATCAACAAAAAAATATGTAGATCATCATTTAGTGACAAAATTTACAGATTCGAAGAGAAAAATACAAATAGAAATCATCATTAAATCACAAGATTAACACAAACTAAATCAGCGATGAGGACTATCTATACATCTAGATATTCATTCTAGTTCATTCAAAATAAATATGATTTCGAAGTAGAGCTGTTGCGAGGTGTTAAAGATTGGGGTCGACAAATTTTTCGAAAATTTTTCAAAAACGTATATAAATTATCGAAATTTTGAAAAAGAAATTGACACATTCATTGAAAATTTTTGGACATCTTTGAAAATATTTGAAGATTTTAGAATTTTTTTTTACCTTTTTCAAAGATTTTTGAAGAGTTTTAGAAACTTTTGAAGAATATTTGAAGATTGTTAACGATTTTTGAAAATTTTCAAAGATTCTTCTAAAGTTTTTGGAAAGCCTTGAGCCAAAAAAAAAATTCTAAAGATTAGGATGTGATCCCTCGCTCGCGACAACTCTGTTTCGAAGTCGTTTGGTGGTTACTGTTATTTGAATTTTCTTTTGATTGATCGAATAATGATCTGGTTGATTGAATGAAAAGCTTTTCTAGAAATGTTGTTTGAGTGTCTAGATGACTTTTTTTTTCCTTATCTGAGATAAGAATAAGAAAAGACTATTTGCTTGAATCAAAGAACACAATAAATAAGAAAATTCATTGTAAAGATGAAAAAACCAATATAAATTTTAAAAAACGAAGTGAAAAATGTTATTTTTTTTTTTTTTTTTTTTTTGTAAATGCGGTGTTTATTGTGACGCTCTGAAGCGCTTACAAAAAAAAAAGAGGGGAAGGTGTCACAAAAAAAAAAGAAGAAAACGAAGAAGGGAAAAAGAAAGGGAAAGACAAATAAACCGAGAAGGAGGGGGAACATGTGAATAATATCTGCAAATACTTCATATCCCCAATCAGATAAAGACCAACATATATGAACGACTAAGAAACTGAGGGTTTTTTACATTCCGTAGAATAGGAATAGGAAACTAACTAAAAAGGAAACAAAAAGAGGGGATCATTTGTCCTGAACAAATTGTAGCCATATACCCAAGAGTGACTTATGATTTTTTATCAAGTTTTTCACTCTTTTTAGTTGGAAGTAATGGCCTAGTCTATCATTTTTCTTTTTCTTAAAATCATTCCAAAAGGATATATCCTCAAAAAAGAGTGACGACGATAGATCTGACTTGTATATCTTTTTGAGCCTCTTTGCGATGTATCTTTTTACGTATTGATCTAATTCTTTCTCTTGAGTAAATTTATGAAGTTCTTGTGCTCCTGCTTCTGGACATCGGTGGACTAACCTCAGTCCGGCTCTGTATTTCTTCTTCAGCATCTCTTTTTGTGTAGTCGGAAGAAAGGGAAAGAGACAAAAAAGCCAAGAGAAATAAGGGAATGAATATGTAAAGAAACATTGCCGCAAAACTTCGGTAGTGAAAAATGTTATAATAGAGTGCAGCATATGCCTTCTATTTTTTCGAGTGGAGTGCAAAATAGCGTGCAAATAAAAATAAGTGCGTGGCTCACTCACTTTGATTTTGCTTGGTGCACTCATCATTCGGAACACTGGATCAATATCAAACTATATTAATTAACAAGTATTCAATTTTTCATAGACCATGTAGCAATAGAAGTTCATAAAAATTATACGAAAACGTAGAGTACTTTTTGAAAATTTTACTAGAAATTTGTACACATTCGAGAACATTCCTCGATAATGCTGTTTACTATAGAGCAGAGATGTCCATCGCGGCGCTGCCGCGCCGCCGCCGCTGCCGCTGCCGCTGCCGCGGTGGCGGTGGCGGCGCGGCAGCGGCAGGTTTTTAAAAAAAATCACCGCGGCAGCGGCGCGGTAGCGGCAGATTTTTTTAAAAGTCATCGCGGCAGCGGCGCGGTAGCGGCAGGTTTTTTAAAAAACCATCGCGGCAGCGGCGCGGCAGCGGCAGGATTTTTTTGGAGGACATTGAAAAACTGTATGAATTTAATGGAATTTCACGATTTACAAATGAAACGCCCTGATATTGAATAAATCTGATGGACTAGTACCCATATCTCTGGTCAAATATAGTCACAGCAGTGAAATTAGAAACACTTTTTTGAAAATCGTCGCGGCAGCGGCGCGGTGGCGGCACGTTTATTTTATAATTCATCGCGGCAGCGGCGCGGCAGCGTTTCTTTTATAAGTCATCGCGGTGCGGCAGCGTCGCGGCAACATTTTTTTATAAACCGCCGCGGCGCGGCAGCGGTGCGGCAGCTTTTTTTTTCTAAGGCCGCGGCGCGGCAGCGGCAGATTTTCAGCCGCGATGGACATCTCTGCTATAGAGTTCTCTAGGAAAATAGAAGTTCAGTGAAACCCCTAGCCGAAAATAAAACATATTATATCTGATCTCTAATCGAAATCTGATATATACAACAAGCTCTTATTCAAAGTAGTGATAAGACTAGACAGGTAATTTGAATATATCAATGTACATTCAGATACTTGAATTAATACAAACAAAAACCATATTCCAAAAGAAACATTCTTTTATTTCATTCATGTTGACTACCGATGCAGCGAATATAAATTCTTTCAGTAATACTTTTATTCTGACGAACTATTCAGTTATTTTTTCCAAACATAAAAACCGATTCTCATCCTTGACTTGACATAGTTTTTTCAACTTTTTGTATCTGATATTCCTTATTCAGACCCATTTGACTTCAACTATTGACTTTTATTCAATGAATCCCAACACTTCGAAGCGGCACTTCTGGAGATAACCCAGTGCAGCAGCTAGTCGCTCGTTGGCGCCACTCGCGGCTAGCTGCTGCCAGGTCTACTCCCATCTTTTCATAACACTATCCCTCTGTATTTTAAATTCACCTGATCCAGAATTTACTATTTCAAAACTTCGTTAGTCTAAAGCGTTAGAATTATCGATAAGAATTTTCAAACAAAAGTTTTCTCATGAATTATTTCTCATTTCCGCAATTTGATTGTAGAACTGAGAAACCGGAATATTCTTTGAGGTTCTCATTAAGGAAATCTTAGTGCACTATTCTTCAAAATGTCTAACCAATACAAAGATCTTTAGTGAGATCAGTCTGTAGTATGCTTGCAATGTTAACGATTAACAGTTCATTAGCGCCCCTTTGGGGCACCAGCCACGGCTAAGTCCTCCTTTTACATAAGTGCACTTGAACGACAGTCTCTTATTGTCCATGTAATACAACAGCTACGATATCATTCACATATGCCTTTTCAAAACTATTTTCTTTGAATAACAGTAGCTAGACATTGCACATATCAGAATTCCCGAAAACATACCAGGATAAAAGTATCACTTTTCATAATAGTAATTGTAGCATATGACAAATTAATGCCAGATCTCAATATTAGACCCACGCCTATCCATGTATATATTTCCGCAGATGATAGATTTAAAAACACGAAAGAACCTTGCTTATAAGTATCAAACACGACCAAATTCAATAGCTTATTCACTCTTATCGGGTACATTTAATTAATAAATAGTCAAAAATCGTTCCATAGTAACTACAAATGACTCACTTAATTGATAAATATTTTTATAAGACGAAAACAAACATACAATTTCCAATTATCCTCTTCTTTTTCATACATTTATGCAAAATCGAAAAAGACATATACTATTTTAGCTGATCATCTACTTCAGCAAATGCACATTCTAAATCCACAAAAAAATATACGAACC